AGAGCACTCCCGAGGGAACGGGATAGTTCTAGAAAGCAGGTGGCGTGACACTAGTCACGTGACCTCGCTGACGCAACACTATATTCATTTTATAATGTCTTAGCATTTTATTTTACTCGTTACTCTTTCAGTAAATGCTAATTTCTTAAATTTGATGTATTACTGTGGACTTCCATCGGACCCCTAGGGGATCGCGGGCCACAGTTTGGGAACCTCTGATGTGAGGTATGTATAAAGGTCTTGTAAACTGTACATTTCCAACGAAGTAACCTTTTGTAAAACATTCTCTGAAGACATATGTGCCATCTCTATGAGTGTTGAGCGCCCACAAATTTATTGATGCGAGTGCTGTTGTATACATTGAAGCTGTGCAATAATATACACCCAGCACTCCCAGTCATTGGGAAAGGTTGGAACAAATGTTTGTAGGTATAAGTTTTTATCTCCAAACATTTGTACTAAGACTGTGTATCCAAGAAGCACATATTTTATTGTTGTTGTTTTTTTCATGTAATATTTTGCTTTGTATTGTGTCATTTTAAGAAACTTTCGTTTATTCAAATACATGTACACATTTTCTACAGCATTGAGCAATATCGATGCTGCTACAGACGTGACTAGAATACTCGCTCCACTCATCTAGGCAGGGCAGACTTGAACCGTTGCATCGTCCTCATCTTTAAGTTAAGTTATAAAATTAACATCCATTAAAAAACAAACAATTGTGAAAATCTGTCAAATTTAACGAGCATATTTTACAACTTTCTATGTGAATCTTGTTGAAGAGCCAGTTATTGTTGATAAGAGATGGATTGATTAAATATATTTTAATGAATATTATAGTAAAGGGCAGAAGAATGTATTTTCAGGGGTCTAAGGTGTTCAATTCATTTTAATCGAACTTTGAGTATATTGTAAAGTCTTGTCCGACTAGTTTGAAATACATTTAATACCGTAAACGGATGAATATTTTCAGGTAAGCTTTCTCTCTTCGCAAGACTTTAAACAGCATAGTCTTATATAGTTTAGGAAATAATTTGAGACATATATCAAAAACGAGTTAGGCTAGATTGAATGCGTCTGTCAGAGAGAGTTATTGAGTTAACGAATTTTTTAGTCAGTTATTGAGTAACAATTGCACGATTTAGCCGGTGAATTATTTAAGTACTGTGAATATTTAATTTTGTTTTTAGACAAATAAATAGAGATACAAAATTGGCAAATAAGTACATTTTTCTGTTAGGCATGATTTATTTATGAAGTTAGACTCATCTGTGAACGTTAGTTATCCCAAACCTATAACTTGAAGAAAAACACATTTTTGTTACCTTTAAGTGCCTTAGATTTACACTGAATATCCTGTGGTTAGTTAGCGATAAGTTTAAATATTTACAAGGCTAACATATTAGCTTGATTCCCTTACCGTGTACAGAGCGCAGATAGCCAGTAGTGTAGCTTTGCGCTAAACAACAACTTTTACTGAATAATGAGAAATACTTGTCTAACTGTAAAAACCACGATAACACTACACTCTTTAATACTTAGACTGAAAGACACTTTACTGAACAATCCACAAGGGCTCGCCCAACAATAAAAACCGTTACAACGATACATACAATTCTCAGACCGAAAGCCGCTTTTACTGAATAATATACAAAACTTGTCCAATAGTAAAAGCCATTACAAGCGTTTACCCTTTAATAGTCAATCTGAATAATCCACAAGAGCTTGTACAACAATAAAAACCGTTACAGCATTACGTACTTTGATACTCAGGTTGAAAGCCACTTCAGTGAATAACCGACAAAAATTCGTCCGACAATAAAAACCATTACAATTGTACATCCTTCATACTCTTACGACAGCGGAAGTCACGTGACGCTGGTAACATGTAATGAGTATCTCAAAGGTTCCTGAAGGCTCGAGTGTTTGCCAGATGCCCTCTATTTTGTATATATAAGACCGGCAAGAAGTGAAGGCAATAATAATTGCAGACAAGCAGATATAGAGACGGACAATTGAGTCAATTACCGTAAGTAAAGTGCGTAAATCGTTGTGAATTATAGTGTGTGTTTAAGCTAAAATGACTGTGGAAATTAAGTGTATTGCAAAGTTGTATTGAGAAAGAATAAACTAGTTTTATTTAAGAAAGGACTTGTGTCGCTAAAGTTTCATCCGAAAGAAATTATACGGGAAGTTAACAAACGACCAGAGGCGTAACAATACTAAGATTGAAAGTAATGATAGAGATGAAGGCAAACACAAAAGGTAGAGAAAATCGTGTTATAAAATCTCAAAACTTTAAATGACCTTATCGTATAAGAGAAAATTGCTATCATTTAATATGGGATTGCTTTTGACATACGAGCCCTATCGTAATTTTTCAAAAGACATAACTTTTTAAGCATTTCGAAAAAAATAACATTCACCTCATACAGGAGCCAAAAATTACTCTTTCGTGTTTAGAAAATACATAGCTGAACAACGACACTTTTTCTAGTAACAAATACCACTGCGAAGAGAAAAACTACTGCCTGCAAAAATAAAATATTTCACAAACAAAAATACTGTTCTCAAAAACAAATTTCTTATTTCGTGGGAAAATAGTGATTAGGTGGATACATGAACGTCAAGAAAGGCTATCAAGACTAATGGTGTGAAACACTGGTTTCTGTGAGTATTAACTAAACATGATATTTATTTCTAATGATATTTAATGATCACAATTAAAGTCACATGAACAAAATTCAAACACCATGGGGTTGATAAGGAAGCACACCTGATCTGTTCAGACAATGTTTCAGATTATTGGAAGTATTATCTCAAAGACTAATCTTCGCGTTATCATCAGCGTTCAATACAAACACCGTGCTTGCAAGCTTGACAGAGGGCACCATTGTGCGGATTCCGAGGTTTTCCAGGACGACGATTCAGGTGTATTGGCGGTTTGGTGAAGCCATAGAATACTTGGCCTACTCGATTGAAAATGTTGACCAGTACCTAAAAATGCAATACGATAATGATCTGATTACACAGTTGGAAATTCTATTTTATAGTAATGAAATAAATAAATTGTGTATCAGTTTAGAACATGGAGGAGTTCGGGACCAAAATCTGGGGGGGGGGGGGTGATTAATGCATATAAATAACATTCGATTCCATAATCTTGATAATAAAACTAAGTACTGTATATGTTCTATACATCCCAAAATAACAAATACAGTACAAAGGTTTACTATTATTTGTGTATGATGCAACATACTGCATTTAATCCTAAACCCTCAGCTTTACAGTTGTCAGTTTTACTTTGGTTTGTGTATGTTATAACGTACAGCATCTAATCCTACACTTTAAAATTGTCGGTTTTATTCTGATTTTGTGTATAATACAGTAAACTGCAACTCATTCTGAACCTACAACTTTACAGTCCTCACTTTTATTTCAGGGGTTTGCGTATAATCCAGCAAATAGCATGTTTAACTCACATCTTTATAGTACTCAAGTTTAATATGGTTTGTGTTATATTAGGTCGTCAAGAAATTAATGTCGCTTTTTTTAGATTAAAAAACCGAACAACTTGTATATCAAAACAAAACATTTATTAAATGAAATACCCTCCATTCTTATCGATGATACCTTTCCATCTTACAATCAAGTTGTTAATACCCTGATGAAAGAAATCACTTGATTTTGAAGCAAAAACATGTCGATGTACTCTTTAACACCCTCCACATTTGCATACGTTTTCCCATTAAGATGGTATTTCAGCGAACCATAAAAGATGTTAATCTAATGGTGCCATATCTGGAGAATATAGTGGGTTGGGGAGAATTTTTCAACCCAACTCCATAATCTTGTGTTGCATCAAACGTGCCACATGTGGACGTGCATTGTCGCGGAAAAGAACACCTTTCCGATTGACGAGTGACGGGTGTTTCTGATGAAGGACTTGATTTAAACGTTCCAATTGCTGACTATAGATCTCTGCATTGACAGTTCGCTATGTATTGAGGAGTTCCAAAAGGAATTAGTCCTTTGATGTCCAACCAAATGCAAAGCAT